TCGGAACTGTGTTACTACCTTGAAATGTATTGGGTAAGGCCATACATGTATATATCTGGTCATGGGCTTTCAACACAATGGAATCAGACTATGTTACTTTCTATTTTCGTAATTCAAAAAGATCAGTGGTTTAAATCCTATAATTGTAATTTTGAGTATTGTTTAACCAAAGTAAAATTGGTTGTCTAAGTACATTTATATCAGAGCATGTATATAAAATATTAAACTTTCAATTGAAAAATAAAAAAAAATTAAAAATGAATTTCAAAGATTGGCGTTTCAGCGCAGTGTACATTGATTATTTTTAAGTTTTACACTTTACGCTGGAAGTTATACAAATGACTGTTTACCAGCGTAAAATTGAATTTCAAATAATAATATTTGCTTGAGTAGTGTTGATAGACCTTCCTAGGCCGTTGTACCTGGGCGATAATAAAAAAGAAATACCCATAATAATAAGATATAGGGGATATACTTGTCACAGTGAGTCATATCGTAATATCAAAAAAAATCTGAAAATGGCGCCGTTATAACTTGGTTTAAAAAACAAAGGCTAACAATTTGATGCAAAATGCGAACAGTATAAAATCGCACGCAAGTATCTTGAGAGTAGGGTACTTTAATTACTCTGTAAGTCAGGCCCGTAGCCAGGGGGGGGGGTCGCAGGGTTCAGGGGAACTCCCCCCCCCCTTGGCCAAAAATTCTTTCAAAATCATGCAGTTTTTCACCATTTTGAGCACTTCTCAAGTGATTTTAGACACATATTTGGGCCAAAATTGTCAAATGTGAACCCCCTAACTGAGGAATGTACTAAAAACCCTTCGACCCAGCGACCTACGACTTACAGCGTGTCAAGAATTTTTGAAATATATTTTTATAAAAACCCTTCGACCTTCTAGATATTTCTCAGTCCATATGAAGTTGGAAGCTGGAAATATTACTTTGTGTATAGAACTTAAGAATCTGTCCCAAGAGAGTTAAAGATATTTAAAGCTGGACTTCGATCGGAGCCGGCGATATGATTTTGGAAAGGTTTCTAAATGAAGAACGTGACGTCACTTCCGAATCATAGCATTCAAAATAAGTAGCGTTTAATTACTTTCACCATTCATAAAATCACGGTGGTCTAGCGGAAGAATGCTCGCTTAACACGCGGGAGGCCCGGGTTCGAATCCCGCGTTCGCCTTTTAATTTTTTTAACTAAATGATTGTTCTTTGACATTACGCAGATAATTTCTTTTTTATTTACATTAACTTTATATTAGAGCTTGAAAATGTAAAAACAATATATGTCAACATATTGCGTTTTGGAGCGATGTGCAGGTTTAATGTATTCAAGCACATTCGAATGTGAACGTTTCTTACCTCCTCAGTAAAAATATTTGTGCTTTTCCCATCACATTGTAACAGTGGCGCATCGTGCATATTTTTTATATAGTTTAAAGAGAACCGTCTTTTGATTTTATCAACTTTGATTCAATTTGGATCTGTATAGTTAAGAATATAATGCCAACTAAATAAGTAGATTCTTTGTTTTGCATCCTACAAAATCCAAAGCATGCAAGGGTACAAGGAAAATAAACACAAACCGTCAAGAAAAAGCTTGCAAGCTAGGTCATATCAGGTTCGTATAACCAGCTTTTGCCAATTTAAGTTTTTCAAAAGGATCAAGGGGTGAACATTTGACAATTTTCAAGTGGCCCAGAAATCTTGAAAATGCTCAGAATCGTGAAAAATTGTACTGATTTTGAGAGAATATTTGGCCAATGGAGTGGTCCACTTGAACCCATGAATGTCCCCCCCTGAATATATACATTTTAAGGGCATAAAGGTTATTACAAACACATCTATACAACTATATTTATTAGACATAGATATGAAACATTTCAGAACTAGATAACAGCAACGCGAGGTGGAGCAAATCCCATCGAACTTTTGATCTCAAAATCGTTCAACTACTTTTCAAGTTTTAGTAAAAAAGTAGAATAAGACGAAAAATTTCGAACGCAATGCGTGACATATACGTAATTCGCGTGAAAAGTCCGAACGAAATGCGTACATTTTTTTTGGCGTTCGTATTTTTGCTGTGTAGACGAACTTTTTTAGAAATTTTTCTACTGAAACATTTTTGCTTGACAATTACCAGGTAAAATGCGTATTTGCGTGCACAGGGAGCTCAAGTTGGAACTATACGTAATCATTTAGTAAACTGGACTGGGAAATCAGAGGTCGAAAGGGTTTTTCAATAAAATATATTCCAAAAATTCTTGACACCCAGTAAGTCGTAGGGTCGAAGGGTCGTAGGTCGAAGGGTTTTTAGTACATTCCCCTAACTGAACCCCCCCTTGGCAAATCCTGGCTACGGGCCTGTAAGTATACATAAAATTATATTTCGATAAAATCAACAGAACACAAGTTGTTGTTTTAATGGTAGCTTTTCAAGAAAAAGATGCTCATTTTAACGGTTTTATATTCAACATTATTTTTCAATGGCTGTAAAAAGTGACCATGCAGCTGCCACATTTGCCTCACCGTAGCTACGCTCTTGCCGTTGGAAGATGATATTATTATTTGAAATTATATTTGTAAGTAAATTGTTACTATTCAGATTGAAGTTTGGTAATATTTCGGGAATTTACTGAAAAATATTTGCCTGTGTTGAGAATGCTTTGTGCAATTTATGATGTAAGTGTAATTCATCCTCCACACATTTACATATTACATAACCTTTCATTTAATGGTTTGGGTTTGGGTTTTGTGTGTCTTCCAGATTCTATTTTTAGCCCATGTGAGCTTAACCATTTAATCTACTTATGATATCTTTATTTTTTATCTAGCTTCGTATACATCTTCACATGCTCGGTCTTCACTGCGTTCATCTTGACCGACGGGAGCAGAGTGAAAGAAGATGTTCCTATATGGTTCTAATACAAAATCTTTCTTAAATAGCTTATATTGACAGTTAATACTTTCAAATATGAACATTTACATTGCAGATATGCAAGTCTAAGTACAGGGTGGTCAAAAAAAATGGAAACCCTGTCGCCATCTTCCTCATATCTTTGTCATTTTAGAAAATTACTCCCTGATATTTAGCACATTTGTACATCATTCAATTTCCTACCGGCCTACCATATTTCATGACCATCAAATTGATAGTCACAATGTTACAGCACTTTAAACAACATGCTCCATTGGCCAATATTGCACTTTCGGCAAACCTGCACCTATCATCTAAAATGTCCCTACCTAACTTCAACCTGTGGTGATACACCAAAAATGAGTGTACGAGAATAACCCCAGGACAACTGCAGACCTCAAAAAGCAGATCATCCATGTCATTCAGGCCTTACCTGCTGAAAAATGTAGTCAGATCATTGACAACCTGTTCAGATTTGCCAATAGCGCGATGGTGGCCACACTGGGGCATCTTGTTCAAAGTGCTGTACCATTGTGACTATCAATCTGATGGTCATGAAATATGGATAGCTGGTAGGAAATTGAATGTTGTACATGTGTGTCAAATTTCAGGGAAAAATTACCCAAAATGACGAAGATATGAGGAAAATGCAGGGTTTCCATTTTTTGGACCACCCTGTACTTGGACTAATATAAAAGGTCTGCACAAAGCAAACATTAGATTGTGTATTTGGTTTCTACATTTTGTTTGCACTTTTACTCACAAAATGCTATAGCTAGTGCTGGTACTGCATTAGAACACTTTTATGTAGTAGATTAGGATTGTGTTCAAAAATATTCCAAAATAAATAAATTTGGCCTGAAATTAAAAATTAAGGCCAAGTAAATGCGCAAAAAGGCCCACTTATTGAGGCCCCACAATATTTTTGGTTGTGGCCAAAAAATATTTCCTGGGCACATCCTAGGGGGAGGGGGGTGGTATGTCCTGGAACCACCAGTTTGGTGACTTCCCATGCTTTGATTTTACTTAAAAGATTTTACCAACAAACCTCTAGGCCTATATATCCACTCCCTTCTAACTTTGGCCTGTGTACAGAGTCTTCATATTTTCCTGCGAATTTCATCACACCCAGTATGCATTTATGATTTGGGGCAACAGACAGGGGTGTAACCAAACCCGTCTGGTCCAGTTATCTACTCCCGATGTCCTAGATCTGGGCCAGACGATGCAAAAAAGGGAGGATTTACTCCGGAAAACACACACTGGTTTTTCAATGTATAATACGTGCTGATAAATGAATAAACATCATAAAAAACACTTACATGTTTGTTCCTTGTATCAGACTTTGTATTTATATTAGGTTTCAATCACTGGATGACGGCCAATAAATAAGAACGAAACGATTAAACGCAGCAAAAAGAAAAATTCTTCAGCAATCTGTTCGTGATCTCGTAGAATATTGAGAAGTCTAGGCTGCATATTTCGTTCAGTACTACATTGGGTCAGTTCAACAAATTAAAAAATCATATTTAATGTTCACCATATTTCTTTCAAGTCTAAATACAACACAGATACGTCTGTTTTATAAAGTAATCTACATTTTGATAACAAATCTGTTGAAGAAATCCTAATATTTGGAATGTATGAATCCCGGGAAATGTATTTTCGTTCCATGAAAGTTAAAAAATTATCGCATCACACTTGTGTTACGTCACATCACATGACTTCATTCAGTGCGGAGAACTGACGAAAATATTGACGAAATGTTGTGCCCATTTCAACATCAATATAACAAACAAAACACCACATTTATGTGTAAGTTACATACTCTTTATTTCAAATAAATACTTGGGTGTACATGGAGCTCGATGTTTTGGTTGGATGGCTAATAGGGAATGAATAATAAGTGATGATTCAGCGACATGTTTTTTCCGGAGTAAATCCTCCCTTTTTTGCATTGGACCTCGTCTGGCCCAGATCTACAACGTCAGGAGTAGATAACTGGGCGGGTTTGGTTAACACAGAGTGTCTCTGGTTAACAGGGATGTAGACTGGATTGTGAGGCCATTGGCTAGCGGGTAAAATTTTGGATTTCGGGGCTTATTGGTGCATTCTGATATATGATATATACTTCAATTTAAACTTTTGGTTTTGACTCTAAATAGCACACGGCTTCGTGTTCTGCCTATACGTGACGTCCACTTGAGAAGAAAGTATTTGTTATCCCGTTCCCGGACTATGGTCCTGTTAACATCTCAATCTTTTGCCTGTGCGATTACAACATGGGAGAATTTTTTACTCATCTTACACTTCAGATACCTACTTCAATAGATTCCTTGGTAATTTAGCATTCTTTTCGTGTAGTTGAATCCACAATTGTCTGGGTTTATCGGCAGAACGAAGACATTTTCGTTTTTGATCGCAATATTTGCGTGTAACATTTAACTTATTTCAACCGTCAAATTCCTCCATATTGGTACTTCCGGGCTACATCCGGGACAGCCAAACGGGGGATTCCCCTTTTAAATCCAACCGCCATTTTGAAAAGTGATGGAATCTCTCTCGATGAAAAAGAGAAATGTTCCCGTTCTGCCGATATACCCAGACAATCGGCGGTTCCAATAATTAGAAGTTACATCTTGAGTTCTATAATGCATTGAGGTAGGTATCTTAAGTGTAAGGGGCGTAGATAATTCTCCCAAGTTGTAATCGTACAGGCAAATGAATGCGCTCAGTGCAGGACTATAGTCCGGGAACGGGATAAAGTACAGTTGGGGACATAAATAAATGACAGGTGGATTTGCTGAAGTGAGGATTTCCCACGTTAAAAATAAGAGAATTTACAAGAGGCCATGAATCAGTGGATGAGATTATACAAAATGTAAAATATACAAATTTTAAGGGATATGTATCTAGACAATATTGGAAATTATGGGCTTTCAGACCACCATAATTAGGAAATGGTGATCGAAAATCGACCTGTCATTTATTTTTGACCCCAACTTTATTTGTATTTCTGTATTTTTTCAATGAATTTTCCCGGGGATTTTCTTGTTACGTAATTTTGTAGATTTAGATTTAAACAGGTTATACAGACAGCCAGGACATAATACAGCATGCAAGTCTATGTGATTAAAATTTTCTTGAATTCTACTTACCATAACGACGTTTCGTGTGGTTAAAGCACAAAGAGATACTCCGGGTGTCAACAGCAGCAACCTTTGAACGCTTTTCAAAAGCATGTCGCTAGCTCCAATATTTTAGACGAGGAAACTTTTCAAAATAATTGAGACGATTCTTCGTTTTTACTGTGCAAAACTAATAAAGTATTGTTAATTTAAAATTATCATGTAATTTTGTGTCTTTTTTGAAAAGTATACACAGACTTGTTACAAGCAAATGAAAATACGAAACTGTGAAAAGTCAACTGAGCCAGAAGTTTTCGGAACGTGAAAATCAGAAAGTTATTCGATTTTTAATTTTTCTTGGATAAGACGTGATATAAACGAGTAAATAAGGTATGGATGACGAAGCGGACACAATCAAACTCTGGCGTATTAGGAAAACAATAATGCAAGTGAGTTTATTTTAACTTATTTGACATTTTTTATTTTTCATTTTTGCTCTCTTTATTTAGATCGAAGTGTCTGGAGTACCTTAAAATTTAAGGCTCTTTAGCCAAAATGCTAAAGAGCCTTAAAATTTAAGGCTATTTAGCTGTGAACATAGTGTTTTGGCTATATCTATATCTATATCTATAATTCTGGAAGAAGGATAGTCCTGTATAATCCAGATCTTTTTATGTATTATTTTCATATCATGTTAAGGGGGACGTTGTTTAATTGCTCACTGGACATGGGTTAGTTGTGGTGAAGGAATTTCTGTCTCATCAGGTGCTTGTCAATTCCATTCTTGAATTGATTTATATCTGTGGTGTCAATTACAGATTGGGGAAGATTGTTCCATGTGTTGACGATTCTATTTCCAAATACATTTTTTCTTACATCGAGTCTGCTATATCTGTGGCTTAATTTTTCTGTATTCCCTCTCGTCATCTTATTTTCTGATTTTTGTGCAATGTCCATGAGTTTGATTCTGTCATAACCATTCACTATCTTGAATACTTGTATTAGGTCACCTCTAGTTCTTCTATATTGGAGGGAGGGGAGTTTTAGTTGTTTCATCCTATCATAGTAGCTTAAGTCTTTTAAGGTTGGTACTAACTTGGTAGCTCTTCTTTGTACTTTTTCAATTTTAATGATGTCTATATTTGTATAAGGACTCCATATACTATTTCCATACTCAAGGTGGGGTCTAACGAGGGATTTGTAGAGAAGTGGTAGGGTAGTTTTGTCTAGATGAGAAAATGTCCTTTTTATTAATCCGAGGATGCTATTTGCCTTGGCTACTTGTATGTCGATATGTTTATGAAACTTAAGTTGATTGTCTATGTTGATTCCAAGATCTTTTTCTAACACTGTCTGTTGTAGGGTTTTATTGTCCATGGTATACTCCTGATTATCATTTTTGTTTCCTAAGTGCATTACTTTACACTTGTCAGTATTAAAGGGGAGTTGCCAATCTTTTGACCATTTTGTCATTTTATCTAAGTCCGATTGTAATTGTTTTTTGTCTTCCTTTTGGCTAGAGAGCCTTTGCGTTTATAATCCGTGTTTATATTGTTTTTTATTGAAGTTTTCGTCATCTAAACAATAAAACAACACTCTCGAAAGTTTTTCAACCCAGAATGCCACTTAAAAATTTCACACATGTATATCACTATAGAGTTGTAAAAAAATCCCACATGGAAAAACTCTCTGGTGTAGTGGTTAGGGTGCTCGCTGTCCACTTCTGCGGCGTGGGTTCGATTCCCCGGCGGAGCACTTTTTATTTTGAATAACAAGCCGGAAGTTTGTTCTCCGCCCGGTTCTCTGATGTCCGGAAATTATGTACACAATTTTTTCTAGAATTCTTGGGCTTGCTCCATCGCTCAATCATCAATGTTTAATGAAATTAATCACTTGTATCGGCTTTGCTATAGTCACGAGAATACAGGGAATCCCATTTTAAGATGGCAAAAAGTATGATGAAGACCTGGGGATGAAAAAGGATCTTGTTTCTTCTAGATCAGCACATCTTGACGCAGTTTATCGTGAATGCAGGGACATCACAGAATACACTTCCAAATCTATTGCCCATTAGATTTCAATGCTGATTTTAGAATTTTTCACGTGACGAGATATTTTTGCATCTTCCTCAGAATTTAAGCACATGACAGCACAAAGAAAATTTACAGTACAAGAGGCGAACTGTCGAGGAAACAGCGGCTTATGCAACACAACAACAACATTTTTATCCTAGCCTCCAATCCATCAATAAATGTCTAAACATCAAAATCTTTACTAAACGGACGTTGCGATTTATAGTGGATAAAATGGTAAAAATAACATTTTTCTGTATACGTGATTGCCTGGTCTTACACCTTCTCTGGTGAACCAGAGACATATATTTTCGATATATGCATGGACATCAAACAAACAAACATTTACTTTTCAAAATCGATGTTTGAACCTTTAAAAAGCCAAATTTAGACTGGGGATTGAAAAGGTTCTTTTACTTCTCTCGGTAGACCGGAAGTATATTTATGAGTCGAGCAAAAAGTGATAATGTTTTTTTTATGAAGTGGGGAAGTCAAAACAGTACTAATAGAAGTCATAGTAAGCATTAGAAGATCATTTAAAACCATTCAAATCGACGGCAAAGTTAGTTGAAATGACTGAAATCTTTATATGTTATCTTCTTCATCTTCGCGGACCTCAGAGAAGTCACTTCCGGTTTAATAATCAGTGATTTTATCGATCAAAAAAATTTTCCTTTTGAATTTGTCCGATATCTGCTAATATGGTATGTATATTTGTGCTGATTGTTAAATTACAAAATAGGTTGGGTATAGAATATGTCAAAGTCGTTTGATCTTGTCCCAGAAGCAATATTTCGTCATTTCTGTCGCCTGGAATTCCTTTAAGGCTCTCTAGCAGAATTGGCTATCAAAATGCTAAAGAGCCTTACAATTTAAGGCTCTTTAGCCCAAATGCTAAAGAACCTTTAAATTTAAGGCTCTTTAGCATTTTGGCTAGAGAGCCTTAAATTTTAAGGCTCTCCAGGCGCGGCCTATTTAGATCAATTGTCAGCAAACTGGCATTGCGAGGCAATAAACTAGATAGTCATGGCAAATGTCACTCGACTTTTTTGCATAAATTCAAATATTTTCAAAATGATTCACATTCTATCTTAGAATTCGGCAATATTGTACATGTAATCAGGCCCGTAGTAGACTAACCAAACCCGTCTGGCCCAGTTATCTACTCTGATATCGTAGATCTGGGCCAGACTCGATCCAATGCAAAATATGGGGTATTTACTCCGGAAAAAACACACTGGTTTTTCAATGTATAATACGTGCCGATTAAACATCATAAAAATCACTTACGTGTTTGTTCCTTGTATGAAACTTTGTATTTATATTAGGTTTCCATTGCTGGATGACGGCTAATAAATAAGAACGAAACGTCTAAACGCAGCAAAAAGAAAAATTCTTCCGCAATCTGTTCGTAATCTCGTAGAATATCGAGAAGTCTCGGTTGCTTATTTCGTTCAGTACTACATTCCGTCAGTTCAACAAATTGAAAAATCGTATTTAAGGTGACATTTAAGTTAATCAAAAGTACAAAAACATGGGAGCCATATTTTTTTGATAAAGTCAGAAGATTTTGTACACTGTTTTCCTTGTATGTGAATGCATTTCCTGACTAAAGAGACACACAAAAGAAACCTCACATTTAAACGCATTTTTCATAACTATGAATTGGAGGTGTATGGCTCCCAAAAGCTAGCATGAAGAGTGCGAAGTGAGGCTAATTTTTGAAAGTTTCAAGGAGTAGCCTTGCAACAGACACACATTTGCAAGAATTCAAAATTTCCAGATAAAGTCTTACCTTACCAAGGAACAACGAAGGAGCACGAAAATGTGTACTTCTTGCATTGTTAGAGTATAATAAAGCTCAAACCATTGTGAATTCTAAATATTTCATGTCTACCATTTTGTTTCCTGGAACTATTTTTTAGTCCAGAGTTATCTTCATTCATGTTTCCATTGTTTATCATTCATAAAGCCTCTATCATGTATCTATCCTGATAATTACACTGTAATAGATAAAACATACATGTGATAATCCATGCCACTTGGTGTAGCCACAAAACTTGCATGAGGATTAATCAGGAAGTCTAGAAGTAGTTCCGGCAAACAAAATGTGGACATGAAATATTTGGAATTTACAATGGTTTGAGCTTTATTATACTCTAACAATGCAAGAAGTGCACATTTTCATGCTCCTTCGTTGTTCCTGGGAAAGGTAAGATGATTTGTGGAAATCTTAGACTCTTGCAAATGTGTGACTGTTGCAAGGCTACTCCTTGAAACTTTCAAAAATTAGCCTCACTTCGCACTCTTCATGCTAGCTTTGGGGATCCATGCACCTCCAATTCATAGTTTGGAAAAATGCGTTTATGTGTGATGTTAACTTTGACATGTTTCATTAGTCAAGATACACAATTCATATACAAGGTAAAGATTTTAAAAACATGTGTCTATATCAAAAAAATATGGCAGTCATTTTTTGTACTTTTTATTTAATATAGCGTCGCCTTAATGTCCACCATATTTCTTTCCAGTTTAAATACAACACAGACACGTCTGTTTTATAAAGCAATCTACGTTTTGATAACAAATCTGCTGAACAAATCGTAATATTTGGAATGTATTGATTCCCAGGAAATGTATTTTCGTTCCATGAAAGTTTAAAAATTATCGCATCACACTCGTGTTATGTCACATCACGTGACTTTATTCGGTGCGGAGAACTGACGAAATATTGACGAAATGTTGTGCCCATTTCAACATCAATATAACAAACAAAACACCACATTTACACGTAAGTTATGTTCTCTTTATTTCAAATAAATACTTGGGTGTACATGGAGCTCGATGTTTTGGTTGGATGGCTAATAGGGAATGAATAATAAGTGATGATTCAGCGACATGTTTTTTCCGGAGTAAATCCCCCCTTTTTAGCATTGGACCTTGTCTGGCCCAGATCTACGACGTCAGGAGTCGGGTTAGATTTGACATTTGACCTTCAAATCTGACTTTAGATTTGACATTTGACCTTCAATGACCTTCTCAAGGTCAAAAAAGGTCAAAAAGGTCTGTTTTTAACTTGCTTCAAATTGACTAAATTTTTTTTTCAAAATCATCTACGTGTTCTCAGAAATTCAAATCTGACTTTAGATTTGACTTAAGATTTGACATTTGACCTTCAATGACCTTCTCAAAGTCAAAAAAGGTCAAAAAGGTCTTTTTTCAACTTGCTTCAAATTGACTAAAATTTTTTTTCAAAATCATCTTCGTGTTCTCAGAAATTCAAATCTGACTTTAGATTTGACATTTGACCTTCAATGACCTTCTCAATGTCAAAAAAGGTCAAAAAGGTATTTTTTCATCTTGCTTCAAATTGACTAAATTTTTTTTTCAAAATCATCTAAATGTTCTCAGAAATTCAAATATGACTTTAGATTTGACTTTAGATTTGACATTTGACCTTCAATGACCTTCTCAAGGTCAAAAAGGTCTTTTTTCAACTTGCTTCAAATTGACTAATTTTTTTTTCAAAATCATCTACATGTTCTCAGAAGTTCAAATCTGACTTTAGATTTGACTTAAGATTTGACATTTGACCTTCAATGACCTTCTCAAGGTCAAAAAAGGTCTTTTTTTCAACTTGCTTCAAATTGACTAATTTTTTTTTTCAAAATCATCTACATGTTCTCAGAAATTCAAATCTGACTTTAGATTTGTCATTTGACCTTTAATGACCTTCTCAAGGTCAAAAAAGGTCAAAAAGGTCTGTTTTCAACTTGCTTCAAATTGACCAAATTTTTTTTCAAAATCATCTACATCTTTACAGAAGTTCAAATCTGACTTTAGATTTGACCTTTGACCTTCAATGACCTTCTCAAGGTCAAAAAGGTCTTTTTTCAACTTGCTTCAAATTGACTAATTTTTTTTCAAAATCATCTACATGTTCTCAGAAGTTCTTCTTAAGGTCAAAAGGTATTTTCCAACTTGCTTTAAATTGACCAAATTGTTTTAGGTGGTGACATTTTGTCATGTTAATGCCTTGTTGTTACTTCCCCTAGCTTTATTTCCATTTGACAATATCCTGTGTTACTTTTTATAGCATTTAATTGTACCTTACTACTTAATTGAATAGTTATAATGCTTATTTTTGGGAAGTGAAGTTTACTAAAATTGATAATAGTTTGCAGGAATTTTCCTGTTTTTTCCCACAGGAGGGACATAATGATCAATAGACTGAATTCTCAGGAAATTCAGTCTATTGGATATAGACTAAGGCCCATAGCCAGAATTTTCCAAGGGGGGGGGTTACTCTAGTATGTATCCAACAGACTGACTAGAAGTCAGTCTGTTATGATGTACTACTTTCCTGTGTAAATTGCAGTGAAATTTTTTGCACAAAATTATCAATTAGAGGAACCATTTCTTCAATAAAATAAACATTACAAAATTTCAATTATGTAGTAAGGTACAATTAAATGCAATAAAAAGTAACACAGTGTATTGTCAAGTGGAAATAAAGCTAGTTGAAGTCCCGGGGGGTTCACTCCAATATACCTCTTAATACCTATGTGCCTAAATGTCAATTTCCTCTCAAGATTGAAAGTTTCCATGCATACTTCCTCTCGGACTTATAAAAGGGAGTAAATTCCTGAAATATTGGTGTATAACTATAAAATCCACTTTTTAGGTGATTTATATCAGACCTCGCCAACTGATTTTACCGATTTATTACCATTATTTGTAGAAAAAACTGATTTTTGACTTAAAAAAGGCTCTCTCTTCGACAAATTTTCCATGTTTTTTCCTCTCAGATTGGCCAGCTTCCATGGTTTATGCCCTAAGCCAAAATTGCCCCTGCTGCACATGCCTACCCAAATTATTGAGAGTGAACCCCCCGGGGTTGAAGTAACAAATGTGCAAATTAAATTTACCCAATCTGCCATTTTGAATAGCACTTTCCATGGAAACAAATATTTAAAATTACCTAACTTTAACATAGGTGCCTTATAGTCTGAATATAATTCAGACTATAGTCAAAACAGTAATGTTTGTGACTACTTTGAATTTAAAAAATAAGCAATCAAATAACCAAATTGAAACAATTTATGTAAAAATAGAAACATTTATATTTATCCTAACTTTAACGCATGATAGTAAAATTTAGACAATTTGATTTGTCGATTTGCACGTAATAACTAATAAACAACACGTGCGGTCTATTATCAACATAACTTTTACTCAGATTTCCTTCCGCGATGATGTCTTCTCATATTTCAATAATTTTGAAATATTTTGACAAAATAATGATTGGGGAACATTCATGAAAACATACTTTATAAGTTGTGTGAAAATTGACCACATATTATATATGATGAAAAGGGGAACTATTTTCACCAAATTTTGGGGATTTTCTTCATCTGCCCGCCGCAGTGTCTATACCGAGACACTGCATTGGAGTTCAGTTACAATTATTAGTTTGTTTATAGTTCCTCGATGGGGTGAATATGTGACTGATGTCATAGTGTATGCGATACATCATATTTTGGAATCACAATCCCATCATTTGATGACTTGGCAGTTGCCTTGATGATTTACCATATTAGCTAATAAAGGCGGGACTTAGGTCACGTGAATGGTCCAAGCCCGTTCCATAGTACAAAGGGTACCGCCCACAAAATATCTCAATTATGTATTTTCAGTTGTGCCATGATCGTGGCTACCTAGTTACCCAAGATGAGTTGGATCAGACTTTAGACCAGTTCAAGCAGCAGTTTGGAGACAAGCCAAGGTAATTCTGGAAACATATTGGAAGGACTTATTTGCGGTGTATTCAATATTTCAAGTCTTCCTTGAATATTACATCTGATTTGATTGTAGAATGTAAGATTTTTAGTTTAGTTCAAAATACCTCTATATACCATGAATTGAACCAAATAGCAACTTTAGACTTCCTTTGTCATGGCATCAATAAAGTAACACCTTTGACACAAGAATCAGAATCTTGCAGAAGTTGTACTACAGATAAACAAAAATTACACCCCTCATTGTAAAAATAATCAAGGGGTACTAAAATACAACAGCCCCTCTTTAAAACATGATTATGTCCTAATATGCCATGTGTATATCTCCAGTGAAAGACGACCAGCTAGGAGTGATCTGATTGTGCTGGTTGCCCACAATGATGATCCTACAGGTGAGAAGTTTTCATTGCTTCAGAGCTTATTATACCCTCAGGTATTGTAGGAGTTTCTGATTTTTCATATGTTTACAGTTATGATTTGTTCCAAAGTTGAATTGTTCAAAGGTTTGCCTTTTTATGTTAATATTTAATTATCCCATCGAATGAAGTTTGGAGGGAATGCCTCCGTCCGTCCATCCATCTGTCCAGGCGGTAACTCAAATACTGTTGGCTCGATTTTGTTCATTTTTTGTACACATATGCCCTATGGGAAATGGCGGACATTTTAGTGCCGATTTTACAGTAATTTAGGTACAACATGTAAAACTGTGATATCAATATGTTTTAAATGTAAAAAATATATAGGATATTAATAAAGCTAGAAATGTAGATATCAAAGAAGCATAGGTAGCCATCTTGAAAAATGGTGGCCTTTACACGCTATTTTACTAATTTTGCTATAACTTGAAAAGTAGTGGAGCAATTTTGTTCATATTTGGTATGTGAATACCATAAGCATGGCATACTGTTCTAATGATAATCTTGGTAGAAGATGGCCATTTTGAAAAATGGCCGCCATTTTAACGTTTCTTTTTTACTATAACTCGAAAAGTAGTGGATCGATCTTGTTCATATTTGGTATGTGAATACTTCAAGCATGACACTTTTGGTAGAAGGCGGCCATTTTGAAAAATGACCAGCTAAATATTCATTTTTATGTGTGTTTTTTACGTTTTTTTATTATAACTCAAAATGTAATAGAGTGGTTTTGTTCACATGTGATATGTGAATACTCATAAGCATAGCACACTGTCTTCTGTTATTTTGGCAAGTAGATGGCCATTTTGAAAAATGGCCGCCATTGACATGAACATGCGTGCAATTTTGTTGGAATTTTTTTATGTGCCTACACAGAAGCATATTACACATTCTAATGACAACCATTTGAAAATAGCAGTCATTTTTTGTGTGTTTTTTTACAATTGGCTGTTCTATGGGATTTGCTATGCTTTGGCATTGCTGTTGTCTTGTTTCTGTTTTTCCTACCACAGGTTTGATTTCAGACAATTATTTTTCAATTTCTACAAGATGAATTTTTAATTCAGATTGGACGCTTATGAGGGACTAGATGTTTGTTTTTCAGATCAGGTGCTTCTTTCCAGTTTGTCAATATCAAACTAAATGCTTGTTTATTTCAGATTAGATTTTATTTATTTCAGATCAGATCGTTTGTTTATTTCAAACCAAATGCTTGTTGGTTTCAGATCAGATGTTTCTTTATTCCAAACCAAATGTTTGTTGGTTTCAGATCAGATGTTTCTTTATTCCAAACCAAATGTTTGATGGTTTCATATCAGATGTTTCTTTATTTCAAAACCAAATGCTTGTTGGTTTCAGATCAGATGTTTATTTATTTCAAACCAAATGCTTGCTCGTTTATTTGTGTTCAATGTCACAGACTGTATTTTACTTTATTTTAGACGTTAAAATAAAATACAGTCTGTGACAATGAACACTAATAAACTGAATTACCAGACTATGAACTTATTTTATGTAATCAAATGCTTGTTTATTTCAGATCAGATGTTTGTTTTCTTCCCCGAAGAGCCTAAGGTTGGAATTAAGGCCATTAAAACATACTGTCAGAGAATGCAGGAGGAAAGCATCACTAAAGCTATTATAATTGTACAGAATGGAATGACACCTTCAGCTAAACAGGTACACATTACTGCAGAAATATCATATGGCCCCATGTTGCGGGAAATTCAGTTTTATTGCTGTTAGTGTGGGGAGAATCATTGCCAAATAATTTACACCAAAATTTAGCTTTTCAAATATGTACTGTTAATGCCTACAACTTTTGACAAATGGGTCATCCTTTAATTTGGCTGAATAATTCCAAAAGGGCCATGTACAGTATTGCAAGTGATTTTAGACTCATTCTTTCACCATGAGTACTTTCTGGCCATAAATACAGTGGTTTTTATTAAAACAATATGTTTTCTTTCTAGTGAAGTCCCCATGAGGATAAAAATATCAATCTAACAATTTGAAAAATTATGAATAGGGATACCATGTCATCAATTTTTTCAAAATATTGAACCTATTTACTCAAAAGAGGATCTTCTTTTTTCTGATTTTTATTGCATGAATAAAGTATTCAACAAGGGGTCGAAAATAACTTGGGATACGAGGTTTTACTTTATATTTTGCATTTCAAACAACATTTCAAACTTTTGATATGTTTAAATTGAGAAAAACAAGATCCTCTTTTTAGAAAATAATAATCCATAATTGGATTGATATTTTTATCCTCATGGGGACTTCACTAGAAAGAAAACATATTGTTTCAATAAAAACCACTGTATTTATGGCCAGAAAGTGCTCCTTGTGAAAGATATGACCATCTAAAATCACTTGCAATACTGTACTTGGCCCTTTGATTGCTGAACCTTTTTTATGAATGATCAGGAATTATTGTGATCAAAATTGATTTAAAAATGTCCTATGTTACCCAAACTATACTCCATAAATTATATATTAACAGATGGTTTATACTTTTGATTGTAGTCACTGACTGATATGGCACCCAAGTACATTCTAGAACAGTTCCTGGAGGCTGAACTACTCATTAATATTACAGAACATCATGTGAGTAGAATAGCATTACAGTAAAACAAGTATGTCTGAACACCTCTCTAATCTGAACACCTCTTATCCGAATACTTTTTGATCCTTTTTATCTGTAACAGATGTTTAAAAAAACATGAAATGTGAACAGCTGCCAATCTGAACACCTCTGGCTGGTCCCAATGTCATTCAAATTAGACATGCTTTACAATCCTGTGACTACAGCTCATATGTGAGATAGCAAAACAGACCAATCATGTTAAACACAGTTTAACCTGTGCAGGTGGAACACCTCTGGTGTACCTGAAAATAGTGTTTCATTTTGGAAGGGTTCAAATTATAGTGTTCATTGTTCAAATTTATAGGTGTTACTGTGCTATGCTTTCATAGGGTTGCAGTTGTGTTTGCTAAGAAATGAAACTTTGAAATATTACATGAGTACCACTGTCATATTGTTGAGGGATAGTAGAGGGGATTAAGTTACACATAAACAATGTATTCTTCATCGATAAGGCTGGAAATCTATATTATTATGTGTTTATGCAAATCAGATTCTTTATAACTACATGTGTATGACATTGATGTTTATTTTCCAGCTGGTTCCAGAACATGTAATCATGACACCAGAGGAGAAAAAAGAATTATTAGAAAGATAGTATCCTTTTAGAAAACACTATGACCACTGAGGTTTCATGTACATAACAGCGGGATATAGAATTGATGCTGGACATATTTATATCTCCCGCTGTGTATCTCCTGCTCCAATATATTCCAGGGAAAACCTTTTTGTTCAGAGTAGAAACAGATACATATTTCAAATACAGTATTTCAGTATATACTTGTAGTACAAAAAAAATGAACACAAGTTTTAAAATTCGTCATAGGATAAATTAGTTTGGATAGTTTGGATATGGGATATATAATATCTCACCTCGGACCCTCCAGGCTCTTGGATTTCCTCAGATATACCCTATATCCAAACCCTCCCATAACATAACCCTCAAATACGTTTTATTATATAAGCATGTACACAGTACTTGGTTATGTATCAGGGTGCAAAATAAGCAATGATCCAGTGGTCCTGTCCATTGGTCTGGACAAGATTACTTTTTTCAGCATGTAAAGGAAAATTACAATTGCAACTGGTCCATGGTCAATCTTTGACCAGCATGTCTGAAATCCTTATGACGCTCCTCCCTGTTACATACATTGTCTATCTCAGTCACAGATGCCACAATTACGTATCTCTGCGCCGCATTTTAATTTTGCATAATTTTGAATTTTTAGGAATGCCGCATAATTCATTCATCAGCGCATAATTTTTGAATAATTTCTCCTTTTTCAAAGAAATTCTCAACTGATGTTTCTAATTATTTGGTAGATAATGTCTCAAATTACCCAAAATGCCAATTTCACCCCAAAATTCCCCAAAAGCATATATACTTAAAGGTAGGTCAGAGTTTTCCTGGGTAAAGAAGTTGTACCATTTATGTGCAGTTTTGAATTCTTTCCTTAACATTTGTTCAGTAAACTAAAAGAATCACAGCTTCCTAGGATACAACAAGGGGATCCTGTTGCAAGATACTTTGGTTTAAAAAGAGGACAGGTATGATTGTTATTATAAGAGACTTAGTCTTGCTTCAAGCCCCTTGTGACCCTCTATACATTACCCACCCCTCATGTAAAGTTGGTAATGGGTTTAGGAGGTTGACTTGATGCAAGACTATTTTAAGAGATCTTACTTTTTATTAAACAATTTAAAGCAATTTGAAAGGTAGATCACAATTTTACAATATGTTTTCGCTCTCATCATTACTTGCTATGCCTATTTTCTAAAAAGGTCAACAATTTATTTTTAAGGTTGATGCTTCACACTCTATCCCTTCATATCGTTTAATACATACAGGGTACAATAAGTTCACTTTTGGATGATAATACAAGGCATTTGTTTATGATTAAGGTAGTTCTCCACAGTGTATCAGCATTTTTCTACAATTCAGATTTTCTTGAAAAAATCTAGATGAAAGATATACTGATGTATATACAACAAATTATGTGAAAATTAAAAGTATTGACAGTTTAGTTATTTCTAAAAAAATATATTAATTTAACATTGCTCTCAATGGAAATTCTTAATTATATTTTTTTTAAATCCTGTGACTCAGATTTTCTTTAAAAAAAATTTGGATCATTTTATGGGTGGGAATTTAACCTGCATTTTCCCGCTTCTCAGCTGAGCATGATTTCCTTGAGCTATGGGATATAGTGATCAATGGGGAGGTTCTTTTTTATGGATTTACAATATTGATTCTCGACCACTGAGAGCTTACACAAGAGCAGGATTTGGGATCCATGAACTGACTGCGCAATAGTCATTGAAGGAATACCTTAAATTACATTAGATATTTTATATTAATGATCACAATTTTCTATTTGAACTGAAGAAAAGGAAATATTTAACAATAAAGATGGTGCCACCTGTTGATTTTAATTTCTTTGTTCTGCGATTCATGTAGGCAGATAATTTATGTGTGATTTTCCTATCATAAATTATGGATTGGTTGAATGTATTTTCATGCTTATTTGCTGATCTGCATATTTCTGCTTTTACGTCTGATTAGAATAAAGCTATGTAAACAAATTGGTTATTACTGTTTTCATATTGCCTAGATGCACATCATTTCCTGTAAAGGACAATATCAATTTACAACTACTCAACAAACATATTTAACACTGCAACTTTCAGCAATTAAGCAATAGCCTTGATGGTCTAGTGAACTGTGTAAAACAGGACATGGATGTGAAAAAGAATCGTTAAAGAGTAAAGTCATCATGAAAGGCAGAATCAGATCTATAGGGGGTGACAAAATCACAAGCAGCATATACAATTGAGCGACTAGTATGAATGCATTATTGTAAAAATAAGTATTCTCAAGTAAAGTCAACACTTTGGGCATGTTTAGAAAATAGTCATGACAAGGAATGATATGAACCCAAAATATTCTAAAACTGAAACAATTTTTGTTAATATTGCTCGCTAGATCTGATACTGCCTTTAAAAGGAAATTCAATGTTTTATAATTGGGGAGGCCAAGCTTTAAGATATATATTAGCTTTTTAGATAAGTAGTATTTTGGACTTTGATGGGACAGTTGGTACAGTTTTTTGAAAATCAGTCCCCAATACTGGTAAAGTTAATACCGCTAAGTGGAAATTTATGGGTTTGAACTTGGTCTTCCAAAATAACTTGAATACCTTATTGTCATGTTAGAGTAACTTTTTTGTGTACTGATTCACAGACGTACAAGCACATGTCATAGCCTTTTCTATATGATTTGTGGACCATCCTGATTTACTTAGCACAAGCAAAGCAGTCCTAACATGAAAAAATATGAATTTTTTATTGTGCAATTACCAGTTACCAGATTTGGATTTGGTCCAAATTTTACAGGCTTATATCTTATTGTCGTGTGGCATCACATCACATCATGGATGTAAAGTTTTCCAAAAGGAGATGATACTCCTCTATTCTTCCTGGGGGTCATTAACAGAAACTTCATAAAGTTACGAATTCGTAAATCAATTGTTGTAACCATGGATATAATGATGTCACAGTTAGAGAACAATGGACTTTACGAATTAGTAACTTTATGAAGTTTCTGTTAATGGCAACCTGGTTATTAGCTTACATGGTGAGCTTTTTCTCTTCCATGTAATATTCAAAATGATGGAGTGATTTGATAAAATATGTTTTGCTAAGTGGGATTTGCTACTCCAGGGAGTTGTTGTTTTTCTAGTTAGTTTCTCATGAGAAGTCTGGCTTGTATTTATATTTATTGAATTGTTCACCTTCATTGGTCGTAAATTAAATATTTATCAATTATATTTTATCAATTCCAGGTGGTGAGAATTGTACGTCCAAGTGAAACTGCGGGGAAATATGTGACATATCGACTGGTTGTGTGACCCTCCTCTATATTCCTTTTACAGAGGTGTTTTTATTGGTGAGTATAATTGAATTCTTACTGATTGTTTAGTGATGGTGTCCAAATATCAAGAGTTATGGATTAACAAAGTTAGTTTCATTATGGTCTAATCCCCCTTCCCCTATAACAAAACTTATATTTATCAATAAAGTTCTCATATGTTTATGGCCCATCTTCGCACACTCCGGTCTTCAGTGCGACTGACAGGAGCCGAGTGAACGAAGATGTTTATGGCCTGGCTTATGTATGCGTTCCTTTTTATAATTGCCAAAAATGTCAAGCTCCTTTGCAAACATTTTTGAAATCACTGGATCTAACTTCTACACTGAACGAAAAGCGCATTATTATAGGGACAAAAAATCAATTCTCACACTAATCAGGTTCACTAGAAGTTCTCACAACAGGCTAAATAAATGAAAACAACAGGCAAAATTAATGGAAATCATATATTTAACATGGAAAAGTTGGAAAGTCCCAAAACAAGTGATTTTGTTAAAACAACTGGTGAGAATCGCCTGTGGCCTGCTGCTAATGAAACCCCTGCTAATTTACTCTCTGCCCCCTAACAAAACCATACATAACCATTGAATATCAAACTGCCAATTGCAAATATCTGCAAAATTATATTCATTATATATTTCGAATAATTTGTTGTAACACCAAATCAGAGTTATTGTAAACAAACATGTGAAATATGTAATATATGTAATATTACTCCTGAATAAAAAACAAAATTAAAATAAACTCTTGCACTCTGTACTGATTTATTAAAAAAAAAAGTAAATACATAGACTATATGTATTACCTGTAACATATTTCCTAAAACCATTTCATTATTATTTTCAGGTACATTGTTATTCTTAGACTCAGGTTGGATATAAAGAGACACTGTGGAACACAAGAAGAAGGACTCACCGTTCTTTGGAAAGATTTGTAATAAACTGGCTTCATATCTAGCAGCTGATACTATCATAGAAGATATGATCCTTCTGTATCAGAGCCTGTATAAGATGAACCTTTTGTATGTGTGTCCTATATAGGTTATCGACTTAGTCTAACGGAGCCTAAATAGGATATAAACTTTGCGCATTTTGAGCCAACATGGGACTTGACATGATTTTATGATCACATTTAAGAACATGTTATTTATGTTTGCTTCATCTCAGCATTGAAAAGCACCCAGCAAATATAACAACAGTGATTATCTACGAATATAGAGTCATATCTTGGGAAATATCTTGGTAATTGAATTATTTTCTATGTCAAAATAGAAGTTGAATATGCTATTAGCAAAGTGGAATAACCAGTGGAAGAATCCTTGAAATTGTTTGGTAGTGTCACATTCTAGAACATTTTTTATGTAAACATAGAGAGAGAGGTTATCTAATGGTAATAACACTTACATGATCTCTATACTAAATGACCATTTGTATACAATTATACAATTATTTTAATAAATACATACGTCACTTTGTAAAATTTTGCTTGAAATTATTATGAATAAGTGGATGATATTTTGTAATTGTATCATTTTCACGTGTTTGAAGTATATGCATGTGCGTCTACATGACATCATCAAGAAGTTATTGTCCCAACGAACGAAGTTTGGTAGGGATATAGTGAAGCTGTCAGTCCATCAGTCACTCAATCCGTCTATCCGGAAGATAACTCGAATGCTACCTGGCAGATTTTCTCCATATTTAGTGGAAAGATGTATATTGGTGAATAGTTTTACGCCCAAAATTTTTTTTTGAAGATGGCCACAGCTTTAGAAATGGCGGAAATTTTTCGCAAAAATCTTATGTTTTTCATTTTAAACCAAAGTAATAAATATTATTATTTGTAATTTTGGTAGTATATTCACAAAATATATCTATTTCACCCTGTGTTTTTCACCCTGACCCCCAGGGGCCTTGAATGGGGGGTTGGGAAAACAGAAATTTACGTTAATTTTGAGATGTTTTGAAGTATAGTTTTATGATACTCAAATGAAGGCCAATTCAGAGTAGATTGCAGATATTGTATCATTTTTCTGATTCGGGCCTTGTAAAATTCAAAATGGTTACCTAATGTGGGATTCCGCAATAATTTTCTATCTATTAGAAGTATGGCTATATTATACTCAAATTGAAGGAATTTTTTCTGATTTGTGCCTCAGAAAATTCAAAATGGCTGCTTAGAGCAGGAAATCGCCATTAGTTGAGATATGGTGATCTGAAGTGTTTATTGAAGGGAAGAGTAGATGGTAAATATTACATTGTGTCTGTACAGATTCATGATTTATATAGTGTTCATTGAGATTTGCTACTCCGTGGAGTTGCCGATTTCTAGTTAAGTTACCAAGCTGTTTATCTTCATCCAGACAATAATATAATGGTTTTGTTTTTGTATTATTGTAGCATGTCCTTACTGGCCAATTAAGTGAAATTATGTCTACTTTAGAATTTATGTTAAAAAAATTGATGAATTTCATGAAATTTAACAAAAATGGCAGATCCCATGTTAAACAAATGGGGAATGGTTGGGTTGCCATAAGTCATATGAGGAACGATCCATCCATCCGATTGCTCTCAAAATTGAAATTGTAAGAGATAATTAAATTTGCTAAATTGTCCACTTGACAAAAATAGGATTTAATTGTCCAGGCTTTACAAAAGTTAATGGTTTCAAATTTAATAATTTTTATGATCCTCTTATTGAAATAACACAGGCGTTTCAGTGAGGTGGTCAAAATTACTTTCAAGCTCCGTATCGCTAATTTTAACAACATTAGCGAGACATTTAGGATGTAAAATGTAAAATCATTCAATTTTCTACTTAGAAAGTATTTTTATCCCACCGAACGGAGTTCGAGGGGGATATAGAGAAGCCGTTTGCCGTCCGTCCGTCCGTCCGTGTGTCCGGGCGATAACTCCAATACCGGTTGACGGATTTGGTTCAAATTTTATAGGCTTATGCCTTATGAGTGTAGGACCTCTGCTCGAGAAGGAATTTTCAATATGGCCACTCAATTCAAAATGGCCACCATTTGCATCGTAAAAAATGTAATCATTGATAACTCAAATACAAGTTGACAGATTTGGTTCAAATTTTATATGCTGATGCCAAGGGACAAAGGAGTTTTGCTCAAAAAGAGATTTTCAAGATGGCCGCTTAATTTCAAAATGGTGGCCATTTTTCGTAAAAATATGTAATCTTTGATAACTCAAATACCAGTGAACGGATTTGGTTCAAATTTTATATGATGATGCTTAGGGACACAGTAGCTATGTTGTCAAAAACATTTTCAAGATGGCCGCTTAATTTCAAAATGGCGGCAATTTTTCGTAAAAAACGTAATCTTTGATAACTCAAATACCAGTGAACAGATTTGGTTGAAATTATATATGATTATGCCTAGGGACACAGTAGCTCTGTTCAAGAAATGATTTTCAAGATGGCAGCTGAATTTCAAGATGGCGGCCAATTTTCGTAAAAAACGTAATCTTTGATAACTCATATACCAGAAGAAGTAGTAGAAACTTCTCTCAGACCAGATATTGTATTATTGTCAAAAGTATCAAAACACATAGTATTAATTGAACTGACAGTGCCTTGGGAGGAAAATATTCAAGAAGCTCAAGAAAGAAAGAGGGAAAAATATGCAGAACTAGTGGAGCAGTGTAGAAATAAGGGATACATCGCCAGGTGTGAACCAGTAGAAGTTGGCTGTCGAGGTTTCGCAGGACAATCACTCTGGAGAACATTAGGGATTTTAGGGATAAATGGCAATTCAAGAAAGAGAGCAATTGGAAGTATCACAAGATCAGCAGAGAAAGCATCAAAATGGATCTGGATCAAACGAGCAGATAACTGGAAAACAAAATAAGACACTAATAAGAAGTATTTAGCTTGAATAGCACACACTTGTTCCACACCACTCTGGTGGGGTCACCTGGTAGAGTTATACAATGTTGAAAGACCCGAAATAACAATGAAACCAGGCACATTGCTGATGATGGGACAAGTGCATACAGCAACACCAAAGTATGTTTTAAAAAGTCGTATATCTGAGAAATCAGTGACTACCAAGAAAGTTTGGATGACAACTGGGAATAGACCAGCGACATCTGGATAGACAGAAGACAGTTGGAAAGACAACAGCCGGGGCAAATTGGGTCAGCAGCCCAAGATGCAGCCTCTGTAAAGAAGCACCCACATAGCAAGCTACGACACAACCCATAGGAAAACACCCTCAGGATTGCCCGAGAGGGAGGGAGGATGAGCAATCCACACAATCAGATGGAATTCAGGACATTGACTTAGCACGGCCAAGGACAAGAATATTGAATAGAGGAAGAATATGCAGTTGCGGCAAAGAGTGCAAGAATGACAGGGGACTTAAGATTCATCAAGGCAAGTCGCGTTGTCAGTCTCAGTCGGAAGTGAAACAGCGCTCAGGGTCATCTGATCCTGGTAAGACGACGGAGGGGCCAGGCCAGGACAAAAACCACAGTGCCAGGAACCTCCAAGTTCCAAAGACGAATGAGACCGTCAAAGCTAAAGAAGAGAGACTCCAGAGGATCAAATGGCCCAATGCCATAAAGAAAGAGGAGTGGAGTAATCTGGATAACGACTTGGATACAATTCTGGAGTCATCTCTAAGTGGACCAGTTGAAAAGAAGATACAAGCCATGACAACCATCACATACTCAATTGCATCAGACAGATTTGGAGAGGAAGAAAAATGCCATTTAAAACCACACATTGTCCATATCAGTAGAAGACAGAAAGATATTAAAGACCTAAGGAAGGAACTAAAGGATCTAAAGAAACGTTACAAACAGGCAGGACCAATAGAGAGGAATGCACTAAGGGAACTGAGAGTTATAGTCAGGAGTAAACTTAAAACACTAAGAAGAGCGGAATATCACAGAAGACGCAGAAGAGAGCGCACTAGGAAAAGAGCCTCTTTCACAAAGGATCCTTTTAGA